GGCATAACCTAAACCCATTGGTTGCAGCAAGGTTGAATACTGTTCGGTGGTAACTCAGCGGTCGTAACATTTTCTAACGTAATAAATTACATGTTGTGCATAAATTACGGTCAGGAATAATCTTGATTAAAATAACATTCCACATCGTAACATGTGTTCCCTCTTATCGAGAAAACAAGGTGCGAGTTTTAACTATTTATTCGATGGGATGAGACATTAAAAAAAATTGTTGCCATTGAAAACATATTACTGCTATTGAAGTATTTGATTAAAGGGTATTTATGACATAAATGATATGAGCAGAATTTCACATCAAAAATTTTAAAGAGCATTGGTCATTGGTAAGAAGAAAGATCCGGGATCTTAGCTTTATCATTTGGAGAACGAAATTTGTAACTCGAGTTTGGTTGCAGTCGATTTTTTAATCTACTCCAGATTTAGATTTTAATCGACTCCAGATTAAGATTTAGATCTAAATCTACTCTAAATTATGATTTACTTTGTGATTTATTCCCTCATTTCGGAAAAAGCAGTAGATATTTGAACTGCCAAATCCGATTTGACTGCAGAACTCCGATTCGTCGTATATGCGGGCTAGTAGAAAATGAATGCTAAACAATGCCTCAAGTTTAGTTACATGGATATATTTTCATATAAATTATATCAGGCTATACGGATAAGACAGGCATTGAACTAAAGCTCAATGTGGGCTGAACTGCGAAATTTGAAGTAAAAAAATTATAAATCAGCCAGTCTCCTTTCGCCTAGCGATATTTAAGTGATTACATAATCAAATTTTAACAAAATTTGAATGTTACGCCGAACCGCATATCCTCGTTTTACGCGTCACAAATGTGGCGATTTGTTTATATTTTTCTGATGCATTCAGTGAATGAATCAGTCCATTTAAATGAGTGACACCATCAATATTTATAAAATGATGTAGCGGGCCAGCTTATGACTGCTCTTTAAACGCTTGGGTTTAGTTTCAGCTGCCGGACTTCTCCTACCAGGACTGGAGAGATAAAGGGCATGGAGCTGGCTTTCTTCTGAAGTTCGGAAGCGGCAGATTGAAAACAGAGAGCCCGATCATAGCCATGCCATTGTAGCCACAATAGCCTTTGAATGTATTTCGTTCTGTCGAACTTTGGATATATTGTTAACCTGTTTTTTCTTATTATTTGAAACTGTGTTGTGGCTTACAATTCAACATTTAAAAAGATACATGTTGGCCTCTGAATATTCATTGACTAGTTTATACAATCTTTGTATGTAAGAGCCCGATGGCAGAAACCATTAATTATTACGAGTATATTTGTCTCGCTGCAATGACAGCACCGAATGAATTGTCGATGACCAGCTGATGATTCCAACTTCTGAGTTCCATTGCAATACAACAGGGACCAATACATTTGATGATCTGATGAATACTCAGAGATGGAGCCAGCATAATGAAGGTAATGTTATCAGACATTAGATCAAATGATGGATATTTAATGTCATTCTCCTTGAACGATATTCCTTAATGAAGTTTTTGGATGACTAAAAACACCTGTATCACCTTAGACACAGAATTAATCAATCTTTTAATGGCTTTTGATGCAATAAATCACCGACAAAAATATCAAAAAAATGATGACCGAATACGATATGTTGTCAATTTAATTATATATAATTGATGTGTCGCAGTTGTATACTCTCTTAGCTTAGGACAATAATCAACTGGAGATCTCGAAACCTAGATATGTAATTAATCTCAGTGCTACAAATAAACATCAAACGTATTTCAGAACATATACTAGTAAAAGCTGCGGCCTCCAAGTTTGTACTGTTGAAAAATCGTTCACTAAGAATCTAAGATTTTCTCGGAACTAAACGAAACTCTTTGCAGTATCACATTTTTATTGATGCAAATGACCATTAGTTTTTATCATAGATTTCTGTGTACTGAGCAGTTTAACAAGCGCATAAGTTTAAAGGTTGGCGTTATACCCAATTCAAAAATTAACGTAGCTCGTATAATTAACAAGCAGATGGATAATTGTTCGCTCTCTTGTCCCAGTCATGAAATATTTTCCTCTGTAACTTTGTTCGATATTAAATTTCAAATTGAAACATTGTTTTTTTTTTCAACACAATTTGCTGAAATTTTCGACTGGCTTGAATTGTAATATATCTTCGACGTATTTGCATTAAAATTTTAGAACTTGTTTATTTCAAGGCAACGTAAAAAGTCTTCTGTTCTCCGCTACTGGAATTGTGGTGGTACTAATTAAGTGTGGTGGTACTACTCTATACTTCATCACCAGAGTTGTGTTGTCTATAATGAATCTATCTCGGCACCTTTTAATAATTATGTTGCGTGCCGATATAATTTTAAAACCAAGTTGTTTTGATTACCGAAGAATTTAATATGGTTATTCGCATATCTCATTTGAAATTAATAAGCGTCAAATGCCTGGATAATTGTATGCATATAAGGAATGTATTATTAAATGCGTTTTTGGAGTGCACGACTTTTGCTAGCAGTTCAATAGGAGCGCCTATTGGCTGCAAATGTAAGACTATGGACCGCGCTACTAAAATGTTCCATAAATCCATATTAATTGGGTTAATGAACGTCAGATACAAATATTGGCCTCGTCAGACATAAATGTTTTGTGCCATTTTGCTCATCAAAAATGCTCCATAAAATGAGGTTCTGACATAGAACGTTAAAATTACACTGGTATATCTGCTGTAAATAACTTTTCAGTGTTTCGAGGACAAATTGAATTGAAGGGTTACCAAATTAAAAATGCATCGTAGTAAAAAAGAAGACATAGAAAAACCATCTACATAATAGCATCTTATGTAGAAGAGGGAAGATTCAAAATTTCGCCCAAGTTTGGAGCGATTAGTCGGAGGATCATGAAGCATATAAAGAATCAGATGGCTTCACTTCATGATTCTGATTTTTAGGTGAAAATTTCGAAAATTGCATGAATTGGTCACAGCGATGAAAAAAATAAGTGAACACAAATTATTTTCCTTAAGCAGTTTAAGGAAAAAAACCTCGAATTTTAGAACGGAAGTAACTCGGTTTTTAGTATTGAAGGAATAAAAAAACTTGTGAATTTATTCTTTATATTCTCTTCGGATCACTTGAATCTCGGTAGCTCAGACGGCACAGGGCCAGTGACGTGCTAGGGTGATGGTAATTACAGTGCCAGGTAAGCCACCACTTGCCGTGTATTTTACATAAAAATTGAGTGGGCGTTCAATTCTCGAACACGAAGAGTAAGCTTCCTCTAATTGCAGCCTGATCAAAATACGGTAATTTACGAAAATGAAAATAAATGAACAAAGAAGAATACCTGAAAGAGCATTTCAAATTTCACACTTCCATCTTCTTTTGGAGGCGAATTAAATTACTACCATATTACATAATTTATATTTATTTACCAATTACAACCTCCTAAGTAAATGCACATTTGATTTAAAACAAAGCGGAATGAAGGATTGCTAGTGCAAAATCCCCACCTACTCCAAACAGCCAAAAGGCACTGCTAGGTGATATATATTTGTTAACAATAACAGCATATGACAGTTGTGCATGTAGGTTATGTTAGCAAGGTGACAGTTATGCATGCATACCCACAGCTTTGTGGAACACGTAGCTGCAATTAACCTAACCTACCTGTCTCTAAAATTACTAAAATGAAAAATCGGAAGATATGCTGTTGCACAATGTTATTATGGTTACCTCCCCAGAAGATTATATAAAATAAATTCTACATTTATGTACATTAAATTACTTCGTAGATCTTGTCTTGGCAGTGCATGACGTGGACCTTCTAGAAGAGTGTGCGTAATTGTGTCTAATGTCTTGCGGGTGGAAACATTGTTGAGTTTCACTCATTTTGAATCTGTAGAGATAGAACTTGACGCCTACATTACCAATTCAGAGTCTTGTAGCTGCGCATTCTAGCGTGCATGAGTTTAAGCAGAGCCAAGGGCGCAGTCGGGGACTCGGGGTTCCCTAATTAGCTAATGAGGTCACATATAAAGAGATACATGCAGAGATGATATCCTGGGCCAATACTCTCAAAAAAAGTTAAGAGATCGTAAGTTCATCAGCCAATCATTGACGGTTTTTCAAGCAAAATCCATCAATCATAGACAAGAAAATAGTGCGTAAATACTTACGTTCACATACCAAGTTTTGAAAGTATAGGCCCTGATCTTTAGTAAAGCAAGTAAACGTGAGTCTGTGCGTCAATCAAATACCCCTTTGACAAGAGCAACCGGAGGTCAGGTCTACCAAATATTGCGGGAAAGATATCCCGGAATGTAAGACATGATCCTTACGTTTATGTGGTAGGTAGGTAAATTTGTAGTTTCCTTTCTCCATTAGATCAAGTTATAATTTTTTCAAAAATATTAATTTATACAGCGATAGCGCTATTTCGTTTCACGCATCAGGCTTCTATGAATTTATTTTTCAAATTATTTCTTTTTCCTACATGAATTTTATTGATATTTTTAGGTCTTCGTTTTCTGAAATTGTTCATCCCAGCCTTGACTTGATCAGGAATTCTTTCAGGATTTTGTTTCTTTGATAGGAGATAGTAAGTGGTGTAGGGAAGATAGATTTGAGTTCAGCATTTCCATTCACAAAATGTCAGTGTTTTTTTAATACCTGCCTCAGTTCATGGCTTAATATAACTGGGTTTTACTTCGTTCTGAAGAAAAGCGAAATCTCTTGGGATTTATATTCAACTTTTTTTTTCTTCTCAGAACTTTCTTGAGTTGTTCAAGGAACAGTTCTTCGTTATATCTCCGTTTTCTTAATGTTTATAGAAAGTTAGCACAGTTTTTACGAAGTCTGAGACGTTATAAAACCTTTCAAACAGAAGCTAGGGTCATTCATTTGAAGCTAGGGTTATATATCATTTTCTTATCTACTTAATTTCATTTCATGTTCGAAGCACCTCTTCGGCAGGTTAAAGAAGTTTATGTAATGAATCTGCTTTATTAAGTTCACAAAATTTCAATATAATAACTTGAAACAATACAACAAAATAAACCGGTTTGAAACAGTTTATTAGATTAAACCACTTTATTTGGTTCTTTTTTGAACCAGTTTAGAAAATATCCAATTGTGTGATGCACCAATGATCTTCCCGTGAAATTTTCTGATCCCGAAGGAGCAGGAGCGTCGTGAGTCGCCGCGCCCCTGATGGCTACGCGGGGATCTACTTCATAGCAGCTTGGAGGCACGCAACGAGCCGGATGTACTGTAATACGCAACACAATGCATTATTAATAATATTACTGCAAGAAATTCTAAAAACATTGAATCTAACAATATGGAATCGCTTTTTACGAGAAGCCTAGGATAGTTATATATCCTAAGACAATTTTTTCCTCTGGTATGGGCTTGAAAATAGCAAATGGTCGCTCATATTGCTGATTTGAGTTGAATTTCTTCAAAGCTGATTCGTAAAATTTTAATTTTTAATTTTAACTATGATGCGGTCTCTACGTTTTACAAACCAAAGCGGTGGCTTTGCTTTATTATTATTATTTTTTTGCTCATGTATTTTACAAGCAATTGGTAATAGAAGTATAGAAAAACTGTAACATCTACAACTGTAACCTACTTTAGTTTATAGAAAAAAATTTTAATGAGAACTCCCACACTCGCGCCCCAACCAATCTAAGAGTAAACGATACTCAATTTCTTTTAATTGTATCTGCAATAAACTGGCTGATTAAAGTAAACGTATCGGGTAGTACTTGAAATCTGGACGTTTCTATATTTTTCAACACTCATTCCATATGTTCTATAATGCTCTACCCAAAAATGACAAACAACAAAATATCTTACTCTCTGATTTTCCGTTTAGTTTTTTGGTTATATTAATATAGGTAAGGTTATGATGATGTCCTAATATAAATTGAATGCAGATTAAATAAATTCTGTCTTTTCATTTAAATTCAAACCAGACCAAATTCCAAGCATTATCTTGAATAAAAGAGTAAAAAAAAAGACGAACAACTCACGTTGAAATTTTTCATCGTATCAGCTTCGCACTTGATGTAAGCAGTTTGATATTTGGGATTTGCGCTACATTTGCCTCCCAACACTTGTGAGTTGAAAACAGCCGTGTCAAACTTGCCGTCTTGTCTCAACTGTTGAAAGAATTGAGATGGGATAAAGTTTTAGGAGGGATATTGGAGGCCAGGGTGGCTAAAAAGTATGAAAGTTTGTCAACATTCATGTGACAACTCTGAATAAAAGCGGAAAATAGTTTTTCAACGTTCTAACTCGTCATATAGTTACTAGTGGGAAATAGTATAGTCAATAACTTTTGTATTTATAACTCAGGTACAGGCGAAAACTAGAACTAGTTCGGCGAAAACTAGAAGAAGCTATGATCTAAAGGAGGTACGCGCCGTGAGACTGACAAATATTTTTCCTTTGTGTGTATCTGAGCATCCCAGTCCGACATAGAAAATGTTCATTAGGACCCATATACATAATCACCAAGGTAAGCCTTTGTTGTATATGTCAAGTCTGCATCATATTTTTCATGAATTTTCATTTCTATTGCAAGAATTCGTGTCCCGAATAAAGCAATATATTTAGTTTCTAAGACACATTTATTTTGGTTTGCACGTAAAAATCTTCTGCCTGGCCAGAAAAACACAATCTCCATTGCAAACATTTTTCTCTGTCATCAGCGCCGGAACAACAGTTGTCATAAAAAAAACTCGTCTGGTTTCAGTAGGTCTGTTATATGTAGAACGTTCGCCTAATATCAGGACGGAGATGGTGTCCAATATAATTTCAGTTGGGTTACGCATGATACCTCGTCCAATTCATGTTGGATGGAATCAACAAATTAGCACAATTTTAATACGCGAGGGCGATGGTTTAACTTTACATAATTAATGAAATGGAACTAAAATTTAGTTGGCTGGGATGGATATCCTAATTTTAAATTGCAGACAATTGATAACTTGTCTAATTTTAAACTCTTGACAATTGATATTTCGTCTAACTTCAGTTGGATTGCAATGGATAACTCATCAACTATCTGTTGGAATATGTGAAATGAAATTAGTCTTTGAGCATGTGACGAGCGGATGGACAAGCGTTATATCGATATTTACACCATTGCACAATTAAATGAGGTATTTACCAGACCAGATGAAGTGCCAGAACATTTAAAGAAAGCAGCCAAAATCTTGTCACAGATGGCCGCATCGTAGGTACCGGGATATACTTCCATATTCTTACACTTCGGATCTGTGGTAGCAAAATTGTTGATGAGTGTTTGTTTAAAGCTCCCAAACATCAATTACAATGCTGAACATTCGAATAAACATTTAAATGCACACTGTATATGGTAATATAAAATTGTTGTTTGTTCATTCCTGATTCGAGCAGTCTCGATGGCTAACAGAAAACGTGGCTTAATGCAAGGATTTAAATGGCTTAAATAGCTCAAGCATTATCATGTATCTAAAGATGTTACTGAATTGGAAAGCCTTCCAATTTTTTGATGAAAGATGGGAAACCATACAATTGAAATGGGAAACCATAAAATGTATAATAAACCATACAGTACGTTTTGAAATTTTGTATAACTTCCATTAAATGATATGAAACCATCTGTTTGTCTGAAAACATCTTACTTCCATTTTCTAATTATGTTTCTCCAAAGAGAGATTTTTTAAAGTTTCATCGATTATATGAGATTTAAATAATGTAATGACTTACTCATAGCCGATGTTTTAAGATCCACTATGTGCTTCGAGTTGCAGTTTCCAACTCGTATGCGCGAAAATGCCTTGCTCAAAGCATTCGAACAGTCGGTGCCGCTGTGAACAGGATTTTGTATTTGAAATTTCTACTAAAAAAAGAAGAGCCATCATTTACCATACACTTCCCAAAATGTGTCAGGTTTCTACGAAGAATCATTCGACGTCTACAATAAATACATCATTATATATTTTCTACTCATTGTTTGTCAATGGCTATAGATGTAACATATGTAACACTAGGACTTAAAAAATGTACTAGTAGCGGCACGGTAATCAGATAAAGATGTGAAAAATGGGAAGTAGACATAAAAAGTGTAATTCATGTATCAATTTTATACTATCAGCAAAGATTGACATTGCAAATTCCCTTTCAAGTTCTTATTGTACATTTTTCTATTTATTATATCATCTTAAAATATGTGAAACTATGCATTTGCAGACACATCATCGGTTACTTTATTATTTATGTTATCAAAATCATTATTGCAACATTTGTCATCGACTTTCTCAAAGTTTCTTAAAGTCGTCAAAGTTTCTCCCTTACGTCGTCTGCGCAGACGCCGCAGCCACGACGGCGATCAGAAACACAAGTACGCGGGCCATCTTCTCTCAACGATCCTGAACTGAGTGAAGTGTCTCGAGACAGTGATGTTGCTGCTATATGGGACCCTTAAGCATGACGCTCATTTTATAGTCTGTGTTGTTGTTGGATGAGGTGCGGGAGAGCATGACTGAATTAATAGTCTGTGTTGTTGTTGAATCAGGTGTGGTAGAACGAAGTGTTAAAACCTGACAAGTCTGAGGTTAAGATGGATGATGTCGGTGATGCCAGCACATTGAACAACAGAAACTGAGCAACTTACCATAAATGAATTTTTCCTTGCTTACGAAAAGAGCATATGTTTAGTTCCAATAAAATATTGGATGTGGGTTTAATTTGGTAACACGCTTAATAATGCTAATTAAACAAAATTCTGACAATTTTAAATATTTTATAACAATAACTAAAGTTACGTTAGAATCAGTATTGCAATGGAAGGGAAAGGCATTGAGAATATAATACCATCGACAGTCATTTTTAAAATGAAGTCATTATTGTTGCATTCTTCTGTTTCAAAAAGCAGTCTCGCGTCACCGAAATGGGAGAAACTGTCGTGTGTCTTCAAAATGAGGACAGCAAACATGCATTTTTAAATGCAGTCCTCAATAGTCGTGTGCTCCTGATCTGCATCATCGAAATGGTTATTATAATACAAATGTACACAATTTTTAGTAATCAATCCGTATTCTTTAAATGCAGATAATTAGATAATTGTAATACATTCCTCGAATGTTTGAAATCGTTTTTTAATCTAACTCAGGATCTTGCACATAGTTTTCATTTTTAATAGTTTTCATTTTTTTGTAAACAAAATTTTGCTGCGTCGTCTTCTTAAAACTCTAAATAATTTCTAACAAAAATTTCAATCCTGAACATTCGCAGAACCCCAAAAAATTTCAGTACCAGAGAGCGCAATATTTTGGACGCTTGTATGTAAAATACACATTGGAGACTTCAACATAATACACACCATAATTAAAATCTTAAACTGGAATTGTTCCGAAGAATTGCAATGTCTTAAGTACAGATAATCAAGCAAATCAAAGCACGAATTTTAGAATTAATACTCGATTGTATATTAATTATTTTCGTACGGGAAATTAAAAAATTAGGGCTGATGTAAAATTTAATGTTGAATTGTCGGATGAGATCAACATTTAATTTTGGCCAATTAATTTAGAAGATAGTTCATGGTTGAGAATACAGTTCAAGACCACATTCAATAGGATCAGGTGAATTTTCAATGATAATATCAAAATAGTTTTATCACGAAAGTTATTATGAATCAACCAATCTAGGAATTTGTTGAGATTCACCACAAAGCAGATCGTATAAAATTTATTTTGAAACATGTAACGAGGGCACGAATTGACGTACGAAATACAGAGCAATATAGAAAGAACAGTCACCGATAATATATGCACTCACAGCCCATAACATTTTAAATAGAATAGAATAGAAGTGTCGGCGTTGAAGAAAGAGGCCCATGCCTGTTGCCGATTCTTGAACTTTTCGTGACTTGATTCACAAGGGATCCGGCCTTTGGAACCCGATCTTTCCATAACTGACGATTGATTGAGATAGCTGCTGGACTTATTGCCTGATCCGTAATTTGCTAGGCATTTTAAGACTGAACATAAATAGTTCTCAGTTCATTCATGGAATTCTACGAAGCAGAGCCAGGCAGCTAAGCCATGACTAATCGAATTTATCGTCGTTGAGGTTGTCATTTGTAGTAATCAATCTTTTTAATTACTTTAGGTGTTCATTAAGTTGTATTCAGATTAATCTCAAATCTCTTTCCCGACATCTTATGTATATTTCAATGTTAGAAGCCTTGAAGGATGTCAAAGAGAATGCATCGTTCAAAGATCATTACTAAGATGACCCGTGATGTTAAGTATTGGCTAAGAAGACTCATGCCAGCAATTTATTTCATCGAGTCAACACCGCTAAGAATATGTGATTCGATGTCTAAGGTAGACACAAGTGTTCTCTCTTAACTAAGGGCATCATTACGGAACATTATTCAAGATTACCATGTTTACTCAATTCAGTAGTAGTGTTTAGTATGTTTCCACAATTCATTAATCAAGTGTAGTAATGTTTTTTTACCCATTTATTCCATTGCAAAAATGATACAAGTTCTTTCAGTTTAATAATAAATTATGACGATATTTTGCGCTTGATCCATTTAAGTTGAATGCGATTGAGAAAATTGTGATGAGAAAGTTGCCTCAAACACGCAAATGCAGAATAGAATATAAAATAGAATAGAAAATTGATTGGTTTGTCTGCTCATGTTTACTTTTTTTTACATTTGACCTTTAAGGTTTTGATACCTTCAATGTGAATTTTACGTAGTTTACCAATTTATTTGTTCTTGTGTTCTAGGTTTTTGAACTGACGATGGAGCTGGATTCCAAACCGTTTTCTCTCATAAGAAATGGTGATTTTTTGACTGTTTTCTTTACTTTTATATTCATGATGAATTCACGATTTAAGCAATAAAGTGATTTTAATACGGTACCGAAATTTTAATATGTAGAAGAGTTAAGCAGGCATTTTGGCGCTTTGAACCAAGCAGAAGTAAATACATATATTATATATCTGTATATGTATGTATCCCAATTTTTTCTTAGCTTCATTGGCTCCCGAAAAAATATTCAAATATTCACTTTGATTTTCAAAATCATTTCATTTTCGGAGCTAAGCACGTAAAATATCGGGAAATGTCCCCACTAAGAATTTGTTAAATTTTGTGCATATGTAAGGCTTACTCCCCTAATGTCCTCTCACTCCCGCGCCTTGCATTAACGCGAAGTTAGCAAACTTGTTTAACTTCTTAACATAATGGACGTCGCTTCGTTAGCATCGACATCGTTGAGAGTCACCAGATTTGGCTTCTTGCTGAGTACCAAGATGGTTCTTTATCGCACTAGCTAAATATGACAGTTAAAATATAGTTTAAAATTTTTAATTTCACGGATAAACCTTTTTGCAAGTCAGTGCATCAAATTGTTAGTTTTAAAATTGAAAAAAACTGTCAAAGACACTTGCATCATTGTTCGACGCAAGTGTCTTTAAATGTTTTTATCAATGTTTGATTATCTGTAGTAATTTTATATTAACAATAAGAATAATCACATCGGTTGGTGCACCATTTTGATCACATATTCCCTTAATGCAAAACTAGAACAAACCATTCAATTGAATTGGGGACGATATTCTGTAATATTTTATTAATTTATGCAATTATTGCAGATGACGACTTAATAAAATTGTGTCGCCTGTAAAAAAGTTTGTGATAAGTAGACAGTTGTAGAAGAAACAACATTCTAGATCATGAGATTAATTATGGGATAATCGGTTTCTAATTATGTCGTTTATGGAAATAAATAAATTGTACGGGAAAATGATGTTAATAAATCAACAACTCTTATTCTCCCTGATTGTCGTCGGAAAAACTGACGATCAGCGCCCAGTACATTTGTTCCATGAAGTTAATAAAATTGATCGACAAAAAGCCACTGAAGTTTATATGAATAAATTTAAAAAATCCCAAGAAAAGATTTTCATAATTCAAGTTGCCTAATTTTAGGTATAAAAATCACTTGTATAGGGCCGTCGGACGGCTGTAGCTCCCAGTGGTCGGAAGAGTCCGGTGTTTCTTCGACTCAAGAAAATTGCCACATTTTTTGAGGCAGAGGAAGATTATTCTTCACTGGCACAGCGAATCTCTACGATGCTTCAAGCTAACTTCGATTTGCTCAGCTCTATTCTATGAGAGCAGTGAAAATTTCATGTCTGAATAAGCACAGGGATTGAGACTTTCTGACATCAATAATTGTCACTAATACTCCTGATAGCACCCTGAATCATTCGTTAGATAAATTTATGTGTATAAATGCTGTAGAATGTAAAATAACTGGAATTTTTTTGACGCAAACTAAAACATACAAATAAGCACGATAAGATTTGATGTCCCGTATAGTTTATTACCAGGAATTGGATAAATAATTCTGCATCTTATTTCTCAACTTAACAAAATGCATACATATTCAGGATTTAGATATCGTTGTGGGCCCAGAATTTAACCTCTGTTGGTGAGTTCCCATGGAATTGTCAAGAACCTGCTCAATTAATCATCAAGCAAAAGGTTTCTATATAAGTAAATCACCCTGTCAGGATATTGGAATCATGGTTGTAAAGTCCGTAGTTTAAAGTCCAGTTGAAAGGTTGGGTTGTTAATTTAAGTCATGAACTTTGTCCAGTCATAGTCGCTCATCATTAGAGAACAACCATTGCTATGAAAAATAGAAATAGGCAATTACTGAAGCAGAAAAGTGTCTAAACCTGTACCATTATTGTGCAACCATTGTAAGGTATTCCCAACTTTATTTCAGATGCTGCGCAACATTTGTAAATGTGAGGAAACAACACGAATTTGCGGTGAGGTATTTGTTTTTATTTGGCTCTGCCATTTAAGGTGAACTAAATATAATTTTTTCCTTATCTAGTGAGATTATCCTTATCTTAATAATATATATTTAAAGAACTCCACTTATGTTTTCGGCGACAAGCTTGCCGTCACTTACGATAAAAAGTATCCGCAGAATGTTTATGAGAGAGCTGTCGCCATGAGAGATTTCTGTGGCTTCTGTTCGACTTTACCCGAAATTTTATGGAAATGTCACTTAATGATGATTCTAATTAGAACAATATAGCCAAAATTTTTTATATCAAATACTATAATAGATTTCAGTTTAACGATCTTGACAGAGATGCCAGTGAAAATTTCTGATAAATATTTTGGGAAAAAATACCTGGAAAAGGATTAAAATTTATACAGTAAACTTCGAATCAGACATTTATGCGTGCCACATATACAATGATTGTTTGATAAATTTTATAATTATGAGGGAAAGTTGATTCTTAAGCCGAGGAAATCAAACACAGCAGTTGGAAACATGCTTCGTGATTGCCTCCACAATCATATTAAAATCACATTTCAAATAAGAAGTAATCATTCGAAATTTCCCTTCACCAGCCCAATTAATGTTCTTCGA